GATAGAGCTACAAAGTTTTTGATGTCTCTGCCTGGGAAGAAGTTTAAGGGACTCGTTCAATATGTACTGATGCCGGATAGGACAATTCTCCTTGACATACCAGTTGTTTCGAAGCACATGTGCAAGTCTAGAGTTGCAAAGAAGATCCCAGTGGAGGAATTAAAAAATTTTGTACTGAAATGCCTAAATTTGCCCAATGATGAGTCTTCTGAGGCCTTTGATGTAACACAGGAACAGAGCCTGAATGTTAGCAGCCAATTTGCTAAACATAACCAATACTTTTACCCAGAGCTGCTTACTGACATTTTGGAAACGGTTTATGTGACTGAGGTAGTTGATCCAGAAAATGTTTTTTGCCAGCTTGTTATTCTTTCAAAAGCAGTGAAGATATTGTCTGAACAGATCCATCAACACTATGAAGAGAGCTCCAGTTTTGGAGAGGAACTTCCGCAGAGCTGTGGGGATCCATGTGCTGCTAAAGGGACAGATGGCAGATGGCACCGCTCATTACTAAGGCAAAACATTGAGATCTGTGATGGTGCTGTAAAAGTTTTTCATGTGGATGAAGGAAAAAATGACTTGGTGCCTGTTGAAGACATCAGGCCACTGGCTGGCAAATTCCTGAGAATGCCAGTTATCACATATCGTTGTTCTGTAAATGGAATAAAAGAAAATGGCAGAGAGTGGACTGCAGTGCAGACAGATTTGTTGAAATCACTCCTGCTGAACAAGACTGTGGTGGTGACATTTGACCACTATGATGCAACTCAAGATGTCTATAATGTTACACTCTATGCAGCTAATGCTACCTGTGTCAACAGTTCTTTTCTGGAGAATGCAGACTTTATTCCCCTCCCTAAGCTTGAGCAGGATTTAATTGTCCAGAATGAATCTCTTAACTCATCCATTCTCAGTTTACTTGAAGATGAACAATGCATGAATTTACAGAACACAGTCCATGTCATTCCTGGTGGTGTACCGGAGGGAACTGCGCCAAGCTCTAAAAACAAAATGGTCAATGGTGGACAAGAGTGTGCATCTCCTTCTTGTAACGGTGACATTTATACGAAAGCAAGCTCTGAACCTGCAGTAGATTGCAATGGGAATACTGCATCAAGTTTCTGCTCTGAGTTGCAAAGTGCTTGTCATGACAGTGCATTCACTGTAGGAAGTAGTGTCACTGTAAAGGTGTCTTGCATTGAAAGCCTACAGAAGTTCTGGTGTCAAATAACAGAAAATGAGGACTCCCTCAGATGCCTTATGCAAGATCTGCAAAATCACTATTTATCCGCCCGCTCTCAGCCACTTGTTCAGTCCATCTGCGTTGCCCGTAATCCAGATGATAACATGTGGTACAGAGCAAGGATCGTTGCTAATAGCAATTCACCTGTTGTAGACGTGAGATTTATAGACTATGGTCAAATTCAAAAGGTCCCTCTGCAAGATGTGCACCCCATTGATCCAGCTTTCTTGCGGCTAAGTACTCAGGCTTTCCCATGTTGCTTATTCAGTCTGAAGAGTTCTACTTATCCCGTTACCACTACTTGGAATAGCGATGCCTTAGCAGAGTTTCACAAGTTTGTGGATTTAAGTGCGTCGACAGACAATAGTTTGAAATGCGTTGTAAAGGCAGTGGAATCTGATGAAGAAGGTCTGCTGCTTAATATGGTAGACATTCAGACTGCATCTGGTAGTGCACGCGAGCTTCTGGATAAGAAATGTGCACAGTCTGAGGCACATCTGCAATCTCCTCCACAAGTCACATCTGATGTGTACAATTACTCCACATATAATATTGAGGTGGGTGGTAAAGAAAATGTGTGGATAACGTCTTCAGAGACTGTCAGTCACTTCTACTGCCAACTGGACAGGAATGCCAAATTGTTTGACAAATTGATGGAAAGTGTTGCACAACTCCTTAGCGAGCCACAGCGCTCAGATCAGACTCTTGGACTCAACAGCTTGTGCTTTGCGAGGTACACTGATAATGAGTGGTACAGAGGTCAAGTAGTAGAAATAACTCCAAAGCACAAAGTGCACTTTGTGGACTATGGGGGTACTCTTGTAGTCAGTGAAACTGATATCTGTCCCTTTCCCACTGAAGCGATCGCGGCCAGGTCATTTCCAGCGCAGGCTATTCCCCTCGGACTGTTTGATGTCCCTGCAGAATTTCCCCAGGAGGTCAACCAGTGGTTTGCAGATCGTGCTGTTGGCCGTAGTTTCACCATTTCCGTGGCAAAAGTGGAAAATGGAAAGCTAATTGTTGAACTGTATGATGGCTCAGTGAGTGTGAATATGAAAGTCAGAGAGAGGATGGCTAAAACTAAACTAAACAAAATAACTGATGTCAATCAGCAGACTGACCAGCACCACTTTAACAGCTTGAACAAAGGCTGTTCACCACAAGAATCAGTATTGGTGGAGACAGCAGGACAAAATGGAGTCCATGGTAACGATAGGATGTCTGCTGCAGATGATTTAAGGGGGAGTTCAAAATCCACAGCTAATGTCGCTTCACCACAGATTGAGCATGCAACGGTTTTGGATGAAGGAACAAAACCGATAATGCATGTCACTCTTGAAGACAAAACTGTGGCAGAGACTTCTGTTCAGATTTGCCACAGTGACTCAGACACACAGCACTCCAATTCTTGCCTTGAGAAAAACTTGACCATCTGCATGTACAATTGGCCAAATATTTCTCAAAAACAGATTGAGGACGTGTACGCTTCCTGCATTGTTGGACCACATTATTTCTGGTGTCAGTACAACACTGAAGATCTCAACATGATATCAAAGCTTGCTCAGGAAACTGGGCAAATTCAAGACGCAGTTTTTCCTGAGGTACTGGTGCCTGGAAGTCCATGCCTTGCTCTCTTTTCCAGTGACAAGCAGTGGTACAGAGCTCAAGTAATTCAAAAGACTAATAGTACTCTCAATGTTCTATTTATTGACTATGGAAATGAGTCTGAAGTTAGCGTTAAAGATGTGAGGTCAATACCCCAGCATCTGCTGGAGATTCCTCCTCAGGCATTTCTTTGCTTTCTAGATGGCTTTGAGTCTGAAGGCTCCTGGGACGATGACGTGTATGATGACTTCTACAATCTTGTGGCTGATAAGCCGCTCAAATTGACAGTCATTAATAAGGAAAAGTATTCAGAGATGGCGGTTCCTCAATATGCAGTGAATATTGAATGTGTTAAGCTGTTCATCAGTAGCTTAGTGCAGGAAAACAGGAAATCACTGTCAGGAGAAAATTCAGAGAACCAGACT